GAGGGGGCGGGGCTACGGCATGGAAACATTTCTGTCCCCAAGGGGGGGACGTGACAGAAAATAATGAAGAACCACTGTACTAGTCAAAGTAGTAAGTCAACCCGAATTTCAGTTATTTTTGTGTATTATGAAAGTGTGTTGTGATATTTTCTTACTAGCTGTTTTTAAAGATGTCCTAGTCAATAAGGATGCACCGAATTTTCTGAATTTTTTTTCGACTTTTATCACTGGAACAACACCAAAACAGCCAAAACAGGAAGTTATGATGACGCAAGAGTAGGTGATTTTATTGAGGTTTAGTACACAGTCATAGCCTTAAATGCAATGGTACTAATAATTTTGTTCGTTGTCTCGTTCCTTTTTTTTCCCATTTTTTTTTTTTTTTTTTGTTTTGGCCAAGAATTTTAATTTCGGCGCATCACTACTAATTAAGGTAGTATTTCCTTCCATTTTGATATTTTAATAAGTCTGCTGTTAAACAATTCAACAAATATCCTATGTCCTCGCATCTTGTAAACATACGTTATATTTTCTGTCATGTCCCCCCTTGGGGACAGAAATGTTTTCACGCGCCCCCCGCCAACCGCCCCCCGCCTTTCGACCCACACCCCTGCAAATTAATACTATTGAGAACCTGATAACATGTATATTTTTATCTATACCAACCACTCTACGAGTTGCTGCCACCTAGTGACTGGAGGCTAGTATTACAGCAGTGGTACACTTATGTCCAGCCTGCCATATTCCATTGGAAGCCCCTCCTGCCTCCCCTGGCACCTCACCCTCCCCGCCCCCCTATTTGAGAAGTACTGGACTAGTAGGATAGTAAAATGGTCCTGACCATCTTAGTCAGTTTGTTATCCAAACATTTTTATTAGGGATTAAGGTGTATACCACTGTATGAGTTGCTGCCACCTAGTGACTGGAGGCTAGTATTACAGCAGTGGTACACTCATGTCCAGCTTGCCATATTCCATTGGAAGCCCCTCACGCCCCCTGCTGGCACCTAACTATGCCCCCACTATTTGAGAAGTACTGGGATAGGGTGACAAAGTTACAGTAGATATATTACATGAATTTCTCATTCTTTGTTGTGGTCTCTTACTCTTTCTGTATTTACCTGTCTTTATGGTCTTTTTTTTTTTTTTTTTTTTTGCATGTCAGATAAATTATGACTTCAGCAAAGGATCATGGGCCACACCTGCAGTTGCAGTGCATACAGAATGCGTGACAACCATATTGGACCATGTCTCATCACCACTGCTGAATGATGTAACGTATGAGAACAACAGTGATGGGTACGTGGTCTTAATAGTATTCACAGATCACACGATCAAATCCCTTCCTGTCATGATAAATATTTTTGATTTTTTTTCGCAGTACATAAATACTGCACGACTGCATGATTTCACTGGGACGTGTCTGTAATTGCAGTAACGCATGCGTTGATTTTATTACACTTGTAGATATCGTAAAGACCACGTCATCTACAAAGAGGAGATCAGAAGTCAGATATCGAGAGTGACGTCATCGGTCTTATATGAAGAGTAAGGATTGTGGATTTTTGGAGATGTAGACGTGAAGTGAATGCCGTGCGGGTGATTTCTTTCCGTTTCTACGGCGCACGCTAAACTTTTACTGCAACGTTTGCTTGTCGCGAACGGCGCTCCTCGCTACGTTAACACGTTAATTGCTCGTTAACGTGCAGCTGCAGTGCCCACCGCCCCCGCAGATAAACGGCATATGCAACAACACAACAGAACGAGAGAGTGAGTGAGTGAGTGAGTGAGTGAGATGGGGGACGGAGGGAAGGGGAGCGATCAAGTTGACTGTCTGAGAAGAAGAAGAAAAAAAAAAACCTGCATGCTGCAGCCTTCTAATGTTCACGTTAACGGGTAGTGTGGAGCTACCCTGCCCGACTGCAGAGGCGCGTTAATGACTTGGCAACAACATATTTTACACATCCAGAATGCACCTTTTTTTTTTTTTTTTGTAAATGCAAGATACATAATAATTAATAAGCAGTCCACGATACGATTTTGATTTTAAAAAATAAATAAAAAAAATAAATCAAAGACTAATTGGTGATCTGACCTGGCGGAGGGTTCATGTTCCCCGGTTTTCTTGGATTTTCTGACGGAAATTTCATCTTGTCCGCGGGATGTCACTGCCGCCGCCTCTTCTGTACAGAGAGATGAACGTCTTTAATGTCTCCTCTCGCATATATTCGTCCACTTTAACCGATGATGGTTGACAAGGGCCAGTGAGTAAAGACGCATCTCCCCTTCTTCTTCTGCTGCTGCTGCTGCTGCTGGTGTTGCTGTGGCTGTGGCGTTCTAATGCAGGTCTGTGTTGGTGGAGCGCACACCCACCGCCCGCTGGATCGGTGTCTGTGATGTGAGGTGGTAAACAAGGTGGGCGATCATCGCAGAAACACCGTGGCAATCAACAGCAAAAATTTAAAAAAAAATCTCACGTTGTCTGAATAAGATAGTGACGCACAGGTTAGGGTTACCGCTGTGGATTGGCGCCATATGAGCGCCACACACGACGATCGTGGGGTGGCCTGGAGGATGGGGCGTGTAACTACAAGAGGTGCTGCAAAGGGTGATGTGAGGGGCTTTAGGAAAAGCCCGTGTTTTTTTTTGTTTTGTTTTTTTTTTTTTTTTGGGGGGTTTTTTTTTTTTCGAAGCGGTTTGAACTGGTTTTTAAAAAAACGATGAGGCTCAGGTTCAGGGGACACCTACAGGCTGATTAGATATATATATATATGATTAGTCCATGTTTTTCCCCTTTGTTTTCATGCATACAACGTCTTTTCTACGTATAGTAGAAAATATTCATATTTATTGAAATATAACAAAACATATAGCAGTATAACAAAAACATCAACAATGTCAAGTGTTTGTGCATTTTTTCACTTTCAAATTTCATCAAGCGGGCCAGATTGAACCTACAGGTGGGCCACTTTTGACCCAAGGACCGTATGTTTGACACCACTGCCTTTTTTTTCACTTTCAAATTTCATCAAGCGGGCCAGATTGAACCTACGGGTGGGCTCGTTTTGGCCCACGGACCATATGTTTGTCACAACTGCTATAGATTTTGAATATTCCATATAGTCAGCTCTGAAGTATATTAGAAATTCATATTTATAATTATATTTAATGAAATATAATTTTACAAAACATATCCTGAACATGAAGTGTTTGTGGTTTTTTTTAGTAGTAAAAGCTGGGCGGGCCGCATGTTACATGTTACTTATGTGTTCGATTCACATTTGTCATTTCTTAAATTATTTCAGATGTCCTCTCTGACTCTCGTTGTTTTCAGGAGAGTAGTGGGCTGTGGGAGTGGTCCTGTTGGGAAGAGAGTGTTTGAGCTCCGGGCAAATACTGAAAGGAATCAGTGGTGTGTTTAAAAAAAAAACAATCCCAATCCCACGAACACAGCTTTCCTCGTCTTTGACACTCAGTAGAGGGCAAAAGATATTTTTGCTAGCTACATTCTAACTGACTTCTTCTGCTTATACATTCAAATTTTTGGGCTAAAAATCGCACATTTTCTCATCCTTTGCCTGGGTTTGCGACTTATACTCAGGTGTGACTTATATAATAAAATATATAATTTTACGTTTGTTATTTTCCCACTGACAGCCACTAGAGGGCGCTCTAAGGCTTGTGTACCAGTATCTGCTTCTCCTGTACCATCGAAAATGTACTTGTTTGTTATTTTCCCACTGACAGCCACTAGAGGGCGCTCTAAGGCTTGTGTACCAGTATCTGCTTCTCCTGTACTACTGAAAATTTACGTTTGTTATTTTCCCACTGAAAGCCACTAGAGGGCACTCTAGGCTTGTGTACTAATATCTACTACTCCTGTACCACTGAAAAATTACATGTTCTTTATTTTCACAGAGATGGCCGTGCGACTTGTTGGTGCGACTTATATTCGGGACTGATCTATATATGTTTTTTTCTTCATTATGCATTTTTGGCTTGTGCAACTTGATACTCCGGAACGACTTATAGTCTGGAAAATACAGTTCTTCAGTTTTACAAATTTACTATTTTAAAAGAAAATCCAGTCAAATCCATTCAATTTTATCATTGAAAGATAATCTGTCAATGTTTCAAATAATAAGTCATTCAGACTCTGATGTTTGGCGGTGTTTTATTTCGAAAATGTAATGATTCTTTAACAATAGCGTCGTTCGCAGTAACAGTTGATACCGGCCGATCGGTCCTTGGTACGAAAAAAGGAAGGAAAAGCACAACAACAGATACATCAGGAATAGTTACAGTATATATTTTTTTATCGACTGCGAAGTTATACTCATAGTCTATCCAGTTTTCACACTGTGAAGCTGCAAAACATGATGGCACATTAGATGACGATTAGATGATCCCGACGATCTATCTATGACAATATCTATTGAAAAATTACATAAATCCCAAATATCATACAAATATTACATATTATGTTTTAGCGGTGAATAAAGAAAAAAAATACACTTCTGGCCAACAGGTGGCAACGTCAGCTTTGGCAATAACATTTCCATGTATAATAAATTAAAATGAATCCCCTCAGTCTTTTTAAAGCAATACCTCTCAAGGGCGGGGCTGGGGCAGTCAACCCCCGGTGGAGTGCGTTGAGTTGCCCAATGGAGTATGGCACTGCTGTAATGATTGACGATAAACAAGCCTCCTGTCACTAGGTGGCAGCAACTCCTACAGTGGTTTGTACAGATAAAAAAAATGCATATTCTCAGGTTCTCAAAAGTAGGGATCACCCCTCTTCCGGGGGGAGCCCTAGGTGTTCCCTTCTCCTAGTGGGACATGTGCGGAGCATGTCTCTAGGGAGGCGTTCGGGGGGTGGGGGGGGATACGATTTAAATGCCCAAGCCACCACATCTGACTGCTTACGATGGAGAGGAGCAGCGGCTCTACCCCAACTCCTCCCGGGTGACAGGGCTCCTCACCCTATCTTTAGCGCCTCTAGGGAGCGCCCTGTCACCACATAGTGACACTACTCTAGTAGTAGACCTATTCGTGTGTTTTTTTACTTTTGTTTTGGTGCTGTACTGCTGCTGGAGCCTAAATTTCCCAAAGGGCACTCCCGAGGGATTAATAAAGTGCTAGCTAGGTATCTCTATCTACATACTATTATAGTTAAAATTGGCCATAAATACTATCAAATATAAATGGTTGTTTGGTTGCTATGATTGGTTGAAGACGGTGTAAAATGAATATCGGATAACGAAGGAGGCCGTTATTCTTCATTTTTGCTTTCGTTATCACTGCCATCCGTTCGTTCTGTTCGGATCGGAAGTAGCGGCCCCGTGCAGTGCGCCCCCTTCCCCCTCTCCACACACAAAATCACACTACTCCCAACTGAGCAAAGTTGCCAAAATGGAAAAGGTTTAAGGTGCATAACAACAGCTACATTTAAAATGTGTGAAATAAAACTTTGCTTTCGTTATCACTGCCATCCGTTTGTTCTGTTCGGATCGGAAGTAGCGGCCGTCACCGGGTCGCAAAATCACACTCCTACCAACTGAGCAAAGTTGCCAAAATGGAAAAAGTTTAAGGTGCATAAAAACAGCTACATTTAAAATGTTAGTGGAGTTGTCGTCCAATCAGTTCGTTTTTGTTTTTTCCTCCGAAAATGAAAACCCGATAACGCAATGCCTGGGTTTCGCCAAATGATGTGCCCCAAAATAATTTATGGGAAAAAAGGCTGTATATGAAAGTGACAGCCACTAGAGGGCAGCTCATTTAATTGATCTATTTCAATAATCAGAGGACTGTATGCAGAATGCTGGTGCCAGCAACTCAAACAGTTTGTAAATATAAACAAATAAATATTACCAGGTCTATATCGGTATCGGAAATTAAGTGTTTGGACAATATAACCATATAGGATATCGGCAAAAAGTTAATATCGGACATCCCTGTTTGTGGTCACTTTCCAAAAACCTAACCGTACATCAAATTACTTATGCACTGTAGATTCCCGGAGGAGTGACCAGGTCGTACTTAAACCTTGGCTGTGGCTGATGTCACAACGTTTCGAGACTTTCCTCTACTGGTTCTGACAATTTCTGAGGTCTGTACATAAAGGTTAGGAGGAACAGTGCCACGTCGTATGAGCACCAGTAGGCGGTGTGCGAGGTCACCGCTGACCAATAGCGACTCTCCACCAGTCCCTCTCTCAGCTCAAAGTCAATGCGTCGCTCCAACTCCATCGCTGTTGAAATAGATAAAAGATTAATGAAGATCGTATAGTGTAAATGGGTGAAAGACACTAGATGGCAGCTCATTTATTACCAGGCCTATAACGGTATCGGTCGATATCGAAATCGGAAATAAAGTGTTTGGACAATATCGGCATAGTGAATATTGGCAGAAATTGTAATATTGGACTGGAGCAAGTGTTTAACTTCCAGTGAGATTTTGCACTTACATTGCAATTATCCAAAGTGATTTTCAAGGGGAAGATTAGCAATCAAGATGGA